GGCGGCGTCTTGCGCTTATTTGCAAATAGTAGCACTAATCAATACTTATTTGCGTGATTTAGTTATTTGCAAATAAAAAGTTAACTCAGCGTTTATACGGCAAATTTTACCATTTTGCAAATTGTTATTTGCGAATAATACGTGCGTATAAGTACATAGTAATATATATGTATGCACATATGAGCCTACCTAGTAGATAAAACTGGCAAAAATAGGACGCATCTATTCTTCTGTGCATGAAAATATATACACAAATAAATACATACATATGTGTATATATGTATGTATATACATATCTACATGTGTGCATACAATCGTTTGCTCTAAATTCTTAGTTGATGCAATTTTTATCCCATACATTTTTGCTGACCAAACAACCCGTTTGCCTGTCTAATCTGCTTTCCTCATTTCCCTCGCTCGTTTACTCGCCTCGCTCATCTGCTGCTGCAAATGAGTGCCTCGCTCGCAACGCCCCTCTCGCGAGGGCAGAGCTAATGAGGCCCTCGTTTGCTTGCTGCTCTACTCTTGCGCCGCCCTCGTTTGCTTACTCGCTCGCTGGCTACTCATCGTGTGCGCTCGTACCTAACGAGTGCTCATTTGCAAACAGCCTCGCGTGTTCCTCGTGAGTTGCGCTAACTCAGAGCAAACTAACGAGCGAGCGAGGGGCCAAAATGAGGCAAATCCGAACCCTGGGTACAAGGGTAATACTTTCGACATCAAACGTGAAATATGGTAATTATGTTTTAATTATTACGGATTGTGTGCCAGTAGGTAGCGTGGTATTCGGTATGTCCTCAAAATGTTATGGTTCTAAGAAGTATTTACTAGGATCCGAACTAACTCGCATCCACCATATTTTAAATTCACGTTGCGAATTGAAAAATTTACTAAATCCTTGAGCATGATGAACTAATAAATCCGTTATCAAAAACGTGTGCTGGCGAGCGCCAGAATATACCAAATTACTATGGGGCTCATGAGCAGCACTTGATTTATCTACTGTAGCAGTTTGTATAGTTTTCAAAATAGCCGGATATTGCTTGGTATCTGAATTACTATAAAAGTATTTGATTTTTTCGTGAAACTGGTTTGAGTAAACAAAATTTAATTTATTCAGAGAACTAGTCATGAAATCATTATCATTGGTGCTTATAAAATTAGCTGCAACTTCCTTATCTAATGAATGTGTATTGCGCCAATGGTGCAAAATGTGTTCACTACATTTTACACCGTTTTCTAACAGTTCGGTATTACTTATACATCCAGTGTCATTAGTTAAAGCATTTAAATAACGAAAGTTTTGCAATTTCTTAATGATTTTTTTGAATTGTTGCATATTAGATGTAGTATTCTTTTATGAAAAATCCTTTTCTTTTTGTTGCAGCGGTATATTGCCAGGAGGCAATACGAAATAATCCTCCTCGGTGATTTTCGCCCTCACGGCAATTTCCTTCTGTTACGATATCTTCGCGTAAATATAGGTTTTGGTCATCCAAGACAGTGTACAAAGGCTCCACGTTGTTGGTGTCGATATGAGTGATTTTTTCCGCAAATTCTATACTGTTTTCCAGAGTAATTAAAGCTTCTTTGCTTTCCAAATTGACTAACGCAAGTCGTTCGAGGAGTTGAATAGTGGCAATGTCAATCACTGGTGTTTCGTCCACGGGGTAACTTTGTTTTATAGGAGTACGGGGGACTTTGGACACATGTTTCAGCTCCTTAAAGGTTAATTTGTTTTCTCTACTTTGCGAAAGCTTTTAAATTTCAATAATTTCTTGAGTTATTGTGCAATAGAAACGAGATTTTCGTAAAAATCGCAGCATATTGCCGGCTATGAAGAAATCAAAACAAATTTGTTATAAAAAACGTGGACACCGCTGTGGTGTAGCGGTTAGCAGTGCGCGCTACCATTCCGCAGGGAGTGGGTTCAACCCAACATCAAAAAACAAACAAAAAAAACAAATTGTCTAATGGCGGTCCCCCCTCGGCAGGCAATGGCAAACCTGCGAGTGTATTTCTGTCATGAAAAAAAGCTTATCATGTAAATACAATCGCCGTTTGGAGAGGCGCGAAACTATAGGTCCCTCCACTTTGCGTGACAACATCAAGGCGCACGCTGTTAATCGAAGAAGAAGCTTGGCCAAAACACTAACATATTGTGTAAACACCAATCTATTATATTATTATTTCATGAGTGGACACTGCTACTGTAAAGCTCCCTTCTTTAATGTACGAAGACGTTTTGTGACTATTTGGGAAGTGTCCCGTCGACCCCCTCACGGGTTTGCCACTTGAGGATAGTGTGATATAAGATAAAAAAAAAATTTGCTATATGTATATGTATGTATATTTATGATGTTTTGTTGATAATGTCAT